CGAATTTATTTGTTTTATTATTGTTATTAGTTATTCATTGAAAAATGAGTCTCAGTCGTGCTGTTACGCTTTAAGATTTTATACTATAGCACATTTCTAATAGGTTTAACGAATTACATGTCATTTATTTGAATTCAAATTTATTTTAATGACTTAGTATTTACTAAAAAGATGTAATTTTTTTATATGGATTTGAATGATTGTTTTGAATTCTTAGAATTGTGTGCATTTGCAATGTACCTAAGTTAGTAGCGAGCGAAGCGATCTTGGTACGCGAAGCAAACCATATAAGATTGCGTAGCAATTTTCGGGGGCTAGCGAGCAGGGAGAGCAGCCCACTAGTAAAAAATAATATTGTAATGCATTAAAAATATTTAACGTGTTAAATTTTAGCCATCTCTTTATCTTAAAGAAAGGAAAATGCAAGATTAAAAAATATTTTTTAAAAGGAAATCTATAAAAGTAAATTTTTTTTTCATTTAAATAATTAGACATGTCGGAATGTTTTTACATGTTAATTCCTTTTACAAATTAATTCATAAATAAATTTAAGTTGCCATTTGATATTTTTAATATTATTTTATATTTTAAATTTATATAAGCCTCATTCTAATTGGATATACTAATTAGGGATATTGCGGCAAGAAATGTACTTGTATCAGCTAGAGATTGTGTAAAGTTAGCAGATTTTGGTTTGTCTCGCTGGGTAGAAGATCAATCTTATTACAAGGCATCAAGAGGAAAACTTCCCATCAAATGGATGGCTCCAGAGTCCATCAATTTTCGAAGATTCACCACTGCCAGTGACGTCTGGATGTTTGGTAAGTCAAAATATATTTAACTTCATGAAAATTTAAAAATCTTAAGTTATGTCTGTCTAGCGACTTTTTTAAATTTAATTATTAATTTACTGTTTTTCACTAATTTACTAAAGCATGGATTTGAAAAGTAGAATCCTGTTACTTTTAATTGTTGGAATAATCCTGTTCTAATTTTTTTCTTCTCTTACTCGTTTTAACAGCCTTTAGTTTTTTTTCCTTACTAGACATTTCTTTAGATTTGATTTTAGAGATATATTTTTCTATTTTATGATATTTTTTAGGTTAATTTTTCAAAAATTATTTTATTTTTAACATAGTAACTCGTAATACCTTGGTGTTCTCAGTATGTTAATCATATCAAATCTTTACATGGAAATTAGCTTTATATGAGAAGTGTTACTATGTTTTTTTTTTAGTGTTTAAATTTTTTCTAAACTTAAGAATGAAAATATAATGTATCTCAATTTCTTTTGATATATGTAATACAATTTAACGTAATTTTAGAAAATAAATATCGAATTAGAAATAAATAAATTTTCCGACTAAAATTCTTGTTTACCTATTTCTATTTTAATAACCTTTTTTATGTCAATATATTTTTAAGGTCTTTCCTAGGCTATAAGAAAAAATAATATGCTGTATTATGATAGGATTTTTATTAGAGAATAGCTTTTTCATTTACTATAAATTATAGTTTTTTTATGTATTAATAAATTGTGAATTATTAAAACTCATTGCCCCTTCTCTTATAAACATTGATTATAACAATTTGTTTTTCTAAATCGAACAGATAGATTTCATAAATGTTTTGAAGATTATATTTCTTGAAAGCTGAGGTTGCATTCTTTCTATATGTGATGTTAATATTAAAGATAATTTTTTTATTGTTTTTTGCAGCATCTACTCGATTATCAATTCCAGTTTTATTACCTCTGATTTTTATATTAGGTTTAGTTAATTTGCATGCATTCTGTTTTAAACTATATTTGTTTATTTAATAATTTCAAATTAAATACATATTCATGTATTTTTATCAATCCCTGTTTTGCGATCAGTTATTGATATTATTTAAGTTTTTCTTTTTAGTGAGTAATTTGTTTTTTGCAGCTTCTTTTAATTCATCCATCCCAGTTTTACTGCGTCTGATTTTTAATTCAGGTTTAATTAATTTGCATTTATTCTATTTTAATTTTTTTTTATTAATTATTTCAAATCAAATTCATATTTATGTATTTTTGTCTATCCCCATTTTGAGATCAATTAATGAGAAGCTGCACCAGCTGCCTTAGCAGCCGATTATTTAAGGAAATGCTTTTTATTACATTCATACGATAAGTTGTTGCTTTGTTTTCAAAAGTTCTAAGTCTGTGTTTTAGATTTATTAAATTTTTAAGGAAACAGATGCAGAAGCAGCATTCAATAATTAATGCCTCATAAATTATTTTTTCTTTGTAATAAGAATGAACAAATTTTTCCAGGTGTGTGTATGTGGGAGATTCTGATGTTTGGGGTGAAACCTTTCCAGGGTGTGCGCAATAATGATGTCATTGTGAAGATTGAAAATGGTGAGCGTTTACCTCTTCCACCTAATTGTCCCCCTCGGCTTTACAGTTTGATGTCTCAGTGTTGGTCGTATGAGCCATCTAAGAGACCAAGTTTCAAAGAAATGAAGCATGTTTTGAGGTAATGGTGTTGCATTTAAAATTATATACATGTTTCCTTACAAGTTTGTATTATAAAAAAGCTATAAGCACTTTTACAATGAAGATTGTACTTATTTTGTGTGTCATTGACTACTGATAATTTTTGACTTGTCAACTTACATTTTTTATGTTTAGTTTTAATCATTATTTTGCTAATAACCATATTTTCAGACTTATACAAATGTGTAAATAAAATGTAAAAGCAAGTGTAGTTTAAATTTTGGTTTATATTTTAAATTGCTTTAAAAAAGCATTAGTGCTTTTTAATACAGTAATTTAAAGATATAAATGATAAATAAGCACTTTTTAAAAATAATTTGCAATATTTTGTTTTTGAACAGCAAGTTTAGGGATACTTAAATGTGTGGTGGAAAGGCTTTTAAAAAGCAAATATTTTTTTTTAGTATTTTAACATATCTTATAATATTTTTAGGGAGATATTGGAAGATGAGCGAACTCAAGTTGAAGATACCCTAAAACGAGAAAATCGAAGGGTTCAAGCTATGTCTTGGGGTAAATTTATATATTTTGCTTTTACTGAAAACTAATCAAGTTCTACTGATTTGTATTTATTTCCCTTATCTTTCCATGCTTGTATGATTTTAAATTAGGCTTGAAAATACGGAGAGAAAAAAATAAAGATTTTTTTAAAAAGAAGAAAAAAATAGTTTTTAACTTTGTGTGTCTATATATNATATATATATATATGCTCTTTTTATTGTTGCAAACTGTTATGTTAAGTGTGTGATCTAATTTTTTTATATTTAAAAAATTAGTCCAACTCTGCGTTATATAGTCTCAAATATTGAGAACAATTCATTGATTTTGATAATTTTCATCTAGGGGGAAAATCTCACCTAATTGGCAATTTTTAAATATATTTTAAAAGTTATTTATGCAATCTAATGCCGAGATAATTCTTGGAACAAAATAGTAGGTCTAGTGTAAAATGTAAGCTTTGCCTTAATTCTTAGGTACTTGAACTTTTCTATTTCCCTTGGCGAAAGAACTCAAAAGAATTGATTTACGTTAAAGAATCAGATTTTATATTGATATAATAACCCTTTGACGCTGATGGGACTCTGGTGTCCTTCTCATATATTTTGTGTTTTTATTCAAATATAAAAAAAAACCAGTCTAATACAGGATGCGTAACTTTTTTAAAAAGTGCTTAAAGGTGCTTATTTTTGATTTTTAAAAGCCCTTAAAGATGTTTTTTTCATTTGGTGTTTTTAAAAAGTGCTTAATTTTCCCTATTTCCAAAATGATATTTTTCCTTTACCATGGTGTTTTTGCCACGAATTTTCCATAAATATGTCAACATTTTCACAATTAATGCAACTCTAATCTATTTTGGCGTATCGTCTGCTCATTAAGTATGAAAACTCCATTTGTTTTACATGATTCAAAATTTCATTACTTTTGACAATTATCAAAAACTATGACAAAAGTTTGTTTTTGATATGACAGTAAAACCGTTAACTGTCAAAAACTTGCCAACCCTGTCTAATTATAATTTTTTTTTAAGTGCTGAAAAATATTTTTGTGTGCTTGAAATGTGCTTATTTTTAGTTGAAAAATTTGACTATGCACCCTGTAATAGTTACTAAAAAAATCTGCTAGACTATCGGAATTATGTTTGTCCTAAAATATTAAATTAAAAAAAGGAGTTGGAAAAATCTTTTTTTCATTCATATTCAAAAATTTATCAATGATTATTTTGCAAGCGAACACCAGCTCATAAAATGACATTGAAGTATGTATTGCAGTAAACTTTCCTAAAAATATGCACACACTTTTGCCTCTTTCTTAAATTGGTATTTATTTCCAGGCTCTTCAGGATCAGATGAACCACCACCAAAGGTAATTTGTTCCTAATTATCACTATTTTGTACAATTAATTATCACTTATCACAGAATTATTTTGCTTCATTCACGTTTATTTTGCAGCCTACTAGGCAGCTAGTAGATATAGTTGCACCACCAGAAGAGCCAACCACTTACATTGTGGCTCCTAATCCTGAAGTTCTGGCTAAATTAATTCAAGACAATGCTAACAGTTTACCACCTGCATGGGCTTATGTTGCACCTGCATCCCCTGCTAACACATTCACTGTAGCAAAATATGGAGAGGGGGAAGAGGGAAATTCTGAATACAATCAGCCGGTATGATCAACTTTTATTTATTGTGCTAGTTTTGCACAGAAAAAGCTATGCAATTTTTATTTAATTTTATGCAGTTGAACCTTAATCGAATGTTTTTCATCAAACCAGTCATTGCGAGCACAAATTTTAAAAAAACAGCAAATGCGGTAAGAAATTATGTAAAGTAATGAAGAAATAATGGATTTGAGAATTAACTATAAGTACAAAAAAAATTTAATTGAAAATATGTTTTTACTAATGCTAAAATATGCAGTCATTGCAAGCATTAATTTTTTTTTTAAAAAAAAGCAGCAAATGCGTTAAAAAAATGTGTAAAGTAATAAAGAAATAATGGATTTGAAAATTAACTATAAGTATAAAAAAAATTTTATTGAAAAAATTATGTTTTTACTAATGCTAAAATATTTATGTAAAAGAAAGATAATTATGTAAAAGATAAATAATTATGTAAAAGAAAGATAAATAAGCACATTCATTTATTTAAAATGTATAAACATTTTAGTTTAACCACACTCTTTACTTCTAAATGCAAAAATAAATTTTCAACATTTAACTGATTTCTGTTTTCTTCTAATTATTTAGTGTGAATGTAGAAAGTTTCTCTTTTGCAAGTGTTGGTACTTATTGTGATTTCATTTCACCATTTTCATCTATGTCGATTTGCACTTATTCAGTTTCTATAACCATTTTTTCAATTAACTTTGTAAGTTTCACCATTTTTTTATCAATTAATGTATAAACATGAAAATTGATAATTAAGGCATTTTATCCAAACTATAACAAATTCTTATTTTCTTCTTCATTGTTAACAATCACGAGTCACTATTTTTCTTAAAACAAAATAACTTAAATTTTTTTCGAAGCTTGATAAAATTTCTGTTCTAGTAATATGCACATTATCTATGTAGTTTGCAAATTATTTACGTAAATCAATAAGTGAAAAAAAAATTTGGCACTTAATTGGATCATCCAAATTAATCTGCACATCAGCTGCCAGAAAATCTGTTAAATAACTGATTTCTTCACTTTAGCAGCTGCATTTATTAATAATGGCAGCCTCATATTTTGCATGTCTCAATCAATTTAAGTACGTATTTAATTTCTCTTTAACTCATGGGTGCATTTTGTTTTATTGTCATCAGAATACTTTTTTGCATTATTGTCATTAAATTTATAAAATAAGGGCCTTGCATGCCTCAATCAATTTGAGTACATATTTAATTTCTCTTTAACTCATAGGTGCATTTTGTTTTATTGATTATCGTCATTAAATTTGCTGTAATATTTATTATTAAAGAGTGAGTTTACTGCAAGTATTGAAAGATTTACTTGAGAAAATTCTGGATATTAAAAGATATGCAATCGATGTTATGTTGTAGATCAATTTTATTTATTTCAGTACTGAGAAAAGAACTTATTTTTCTATCTATTTTCTACGTGTACAACTATCTAAATTGTTTGGGACTTACATTTGATCTGCAATATTTACTGGGTACAAATAAGTGTTTGACAGAAACCGATTTATAAAAAAAATTTATGTTCATACCTACTTACTAAATTATAAATATAATACACATTTTTTTTCTTAGTGCACAGTGCAAAAGAAGATATTTAATTTGCTTTGAACTGTTTTAACTGTCTCCTTTTTGTGCTAATGTTTTTTGGATATGGCATGGTCTAAATTCGTTGACCTGTGAAACATTAGGGAATTTTTCTAAGAAGGAATTAGCTGAAGAAGAGAAATTAAATATAAATTTTATGAATCAAAAAAATATCACTACTAAATCCAGGATTTGTTAAAAGTGAGCTGTACTGTAATAGACTTAACTTTATACCAACCATTCTTTCCGATTTCTTCATTAAATCCAGGTTCTTGTTAAATCAGGGCAATTCTCCATAAAATTCTCCATTAAACTGCAATTCTCCATAAAATATATTTTATAATCAGTAAAGCAAACCAAATTTTATAAATTTGTTGATTTTTAGTTCCAATGCTCTTAATAATTAAAAAAAATTTTTTATATATATAATCGATACTTAAGTGCATATTTTTGTGTTTTAAACAAATTGCATTTAAAAATTATTTTGAAGCATTAATATTGATCTGTTTAGATATATACATGGTATCCGCGCACCTGGAAAGTCATGAAAAATCATGGAGAGTCATGAATTTCGGTATTGAACAAAATTTTTCATGAAATGTCATGATTTTAATTATTTTTTAAAAAAGAATCATGGAAAGTCATGGATTTAGGTCTCCGAAAAATCAAATTTTTAAAATGGAATTTACCCTCCCCCATTTCACAGTGTTCCGAATATCTGAATTTGTAACAAAATCTCCACTCACAGTCATATTTTATTAAAATATAAAATGTTTTTTTCATGCTCTTCAAAAATTATGGTGCTCTTTCAAGAAATGAAAGAAAAACTATTATTTCTAGAGTGAATTATCTATAAAACTTTTGTGATTTCAGAATTTTTATTATTTTTATTTTATCAATTTTAAATTCTAGCTGAAGCAAGCCAGTCACTGGCGAATTTTTTTTTTTTTAAAATTCCGGAAAGAGAACAGAGAAAATTAGGAGTATTTCTTTCTTTTTCGATGAACGAGAAAAGGGAAAAAAATATTTGCTTTTGTATTTTTTTCAGTTATTTTATTGCTTCAACTCTTTCTTTACTCCATTTTTTAAATTTAAAATCTATAAACATGAAGATGTAGAGTATAACAGTTTTGTTTATACCAATCATTTCAATTAATGTCATTATAATGCTTTTTTTTAATTTATTGCTGTGTCTTTGTTGGAGAAAATAGTAACTTCGTTAAGTCATGAAAAATTCTTGGAATTAGTCATGAAAAGTCATGGGTTTGAAAATCTTAAATGTAGCAGATGCCCTGTATATATTGCGATGTTTAGTAGGCTGAACATAATGCAGATGTTCTTGTATTTTAAAGCGTGTGTTATGAAGATCAATTTTCTCACGTTTTTTTATGGGTTTCATTGGAATAAATTTATTTATATCCCATTAAGTTTATTTATGAAATCTATTTTCCTTTTATCAAATGTTCATTTGAGGAGAGTTATGTTTACTTTTATTTTATTCCTTTTTAATGGTTTGATAGTTTTTTTTTCTCTTCATTTTTTTTTTACCTGTGAACTAACTGTCATTAAAACATTACCAAATAAATGATTTATATATGAAACATAATTATTGTATAAATTTTTCTGTGTCTTATTTGCTGTTATTATTTTTAGGGAGATATGAATTCCACTGCTCAAATTTTAGAAACCAAAGTTGAAAATCTGGCTCAGAAATGTCAAGAACTAAATTTGGAACAGGTTAATACTCTTTACAATTTGTTCTTGTGAAACAGTTTTATATATTCACTTAAAATAGTTTCTAGTCTACATCTCCAGAGAATTAATCAAGTTATTTTTTGTTTCTCAAATGATTCTCTTAACCTTCTAGAATTATTTTAAAAATAAATTAATAATATATTATGTAAAAATAATGTATAATTATACAACTAAGACCTTAATAATTATTTGCAGTTCTAATCTTTCATAAATAATGTGGACTAAACTAGATTATGTTCTAAATTTAATTTTTCTTCTGTATTTACAACTGTTTCAATAATTTCCCTTTTCTTTAATTATTTAAATTTAGATTTACCTATGTTATATCCTTTGAAAATTTCAAACTTGTAAGTTTAAATATATATACATATGCTTATTATTTCTATTATAATGTTTTTTTTTTTTTTTTTNTTTTTTTTTGTTCATTAATTCTGAATAGTTTCCTATTCATTATCATTACTGTTCATAGACTAATGTTGGAATCGCTATAATAAAATTACTGTTTATACATGAAGACGTGTAAGTTGACTACTTTTGATTAACTTACACAAGTGGTCAACTCATAAAAAAGAGATTTTGCTTTTTTCGGTCATTAGGTACTTGATAATGGCTGTCACATAAGAAAACTGGTCGATTTATTAAGGTGATCAAATTAACATTTTACTTACTTACAAAGTAATCACTGTTTTAATTATATGCTGAAATGCTCTAAAAAAATACCATATTTCTGGATTGAATTATGTCCGCAAGGTATCCAGCAAAAGAATATCCACTCTCCAAATTAAATTATTATGAAACAATTAGTTATAAGAGCAGGAAAAAAGCTAAAGCTGTAGGAATTTCATGAATGAAACTGAAGTATAAGATTTTGATTTTAGTTACAGGAAATGCTTTTCAGGTAGTGTAGTGTTTTTAAAAAGTGCCTAAAGGTCCTTATTTTAGTTTTTTAAAAGCCCTTAAAAGTGCTTTTTTCCCCATGGATGTTTTTAAGAAGTGCTTAATTTCCCTTTTCCGAAATGTGATATTTTTCTTAACCATGTTGATTTTCGCCACAAATTATGTAAAAAACATAGTCCTATTCAACGTTTTCACAATTAACCCCAATTTATTTTGGCTTACCGCAGGTCTGTAGTGTATTAAAAAACCATTTGCTTTGCATGTTTGACGAAATACTTGCGGGTCCGCGCTGGCATATACTGAGCTGGATTCAGTGGTACGGATTTTTGACTCTCATGTGCAACCCTGCTGCATTTTGCAAGATTCTCAATTTCAGACTTCATTTTACGCCCTCTCTAATAGAATAGAAAAATCTAGAATTTTTGCTGATTACGGAGACCAACTAAATATTGTCAAATTTTTTTCTTTATTAGCGATATAAAATTTCATTTCTCTTGTTAATTTCATCATTTGTTTTGCTCCATCGTGTTCATCACCGTAAATAAAACCATCAATTGTCACAAACTTGCCAACCCTGTCTAATTATATTTTTCAAAGTGCTTAAAAATATTTTTCGAGTGCTTGAAAAGTTCTTAAAAGGTGCATATTTTTTGTAGAAAAATTTGGCTATGCACCCTGCTTTTGTAGCAATGCAGGCTTCCTGTAAACAGTGTTTTGATCAGACTCCTTAGTTTTCCCCCAGAAAAATTAATGAAAGTTTATGACCAGAAGGAATTTTAAAGAATTAATTGTGTTTTACGTTGTGATCATTGTTCAAAAGGAGCAGTTTTCATATCTGATTTAAATTTCATCCCTCCAAGTCTTTTGTTTTTAAACGAAGTCTCCTGTATTTTACGACTATCTCCTGTTCACCTGTATATTCTCAAATTTTGGTGATAAAGTATCCGCTAAAGGCCAAAATACTTTTCTTATTCCTCATCAGATGGTACTATTACCAGTACTGCAGTATGTTGGGTGTTTATAGTTTAAGTAATTATAAATAATGGTTTAAAAAAATCTTCTTTAGAATAAGATTTATATACATATTTTTTACTTCGACTAAATGTAATTGCTAATATTTCCAATTTTGAATTTCTTTTTGACTTACATGATTATGCATGATGTATCAAAACTTAATTCATAGCCCAAAATATTTTGCTTGTGAAATCTCCTTTGTTTTATTTCTCCAATGTATACTGATATGAAAATTGATTTTAGTTGTTAGGGTAGCAAATTTAGTAACTGATTTTTAAAATTACGTATAAATTGTTTGTCAATTTTTTGTCAACTGTCAATATTCTATTAGATCTATTTTATTTATGTTTTTTTAAAATTAATTTTAAGTAAATAAATAAAAGTGTTACATGTTGGAAGAGTGGATAGAAAACTTAATGTTATAAACAAAGGTGTTTTTTTTATTTTTGCATCAGTTTTTTATTCGTTGCAATATTTATAAGAAATGAAGTTTATTTTAATGATGGAAGCTTATGGGCAAGAAAAATGAAACTCATTAATAGAAATTAATTCTTAGTTTTGATTACTACATTTTCAATAAATGAAGAATTTTATAGGCAAGAAAATTAGATGGAAGCTTAATATTTTAAAGAAAACTGTTTATTAGTATTGTAAATGAAGCTTTTTTTTTAAAATTCTGATTACAACATTTTCAATTAATGTGGTTTTATTTCAATGGTATATTTTATAGGCAAGAAAAAGATTATCCTATAGTGATCACTCACATGGTTCTGACTCTGAAAGTGCCAGCACTGTTCCTGGTTCTCCAACTCTTGGAAATGATCAAATGCTCGAGAGCCTAGGTAAATTTTGGAATTTTTATTTACTTTTATTCGCTAGTGATTGTTTCATTTTATTCATTAACACCAAGCGTTCATTTGAAAGGAGTTCCTTCGTTTCAAAAAATGAAAAAAGTAGAAGAATACAGATGTTAACAGTGTTTTCATCTCAGAAAAAAAATGGGTGAGAATTTCTCACCCTTTCTCAAAAACAGGGTGAGATTTCAAAAATTAAAGAAAAAAAAAAACACACAAAGACTTGAAGTTGAAAAAAAAATCATTTCTTTAATTATAATGCATTTTTAACATCTTCTAATTTTTAAAGCATTGAATATTTTTGCTGCATCATCATATGGAAACTGTTATACATCTACTTTTTCATCAGCTATTCTCATTAGGCTGCTCAAATGCGTATTTGTTTCGTTTTGATCGTTTCTACCCACATTTGTTTCATTTTCATTTGTCCGTTTCGGAGTAGAAGATATTGGCTTTACAAGGTATTTGTCCCTCTTACATTAACGAGCAAAAAATTTAACGTCTTACATGAAGAAACCTTACCTACGGTAAACAAGTGGTTGCAGAGAAATGCGTTCTGAAAGAGGTTCCGTGGTTCGGAAGGATGGTGTTCTGTTGTTCGAAAAGGCTCTGAACAATACTGGTAAAAAGGGAAGCTAGATAATGGGACAGATGTTGAAAATAATAAAAGATCCAGGAAGAAAAGTGAAACGGATTTTATTCTAAATGGCGCAAATGAGAAATTTTTTTCAAAATGCGAGAAATTCGCGAATTTTGAAATTGGTTTATAGAATGCTCAAATTTCTCGCGGTTATAATTTTTTAATGCGAGAATATAAAAAAATATGCGAAATTCTCGCGCTATAGTGAAAACACTGTGTTAAAGAAAATTTAGTCTCTTGTCCATAGTACTACTAGCAGCAGAAATATTCAACTAATTCATATGCTTTTTCATTGTACCCTTTTGGTTTATCTGTTTAAGTTTGTATTTAAAGTTTTATATCATAAAAATTAGTTAGCTTTAAAAAATGAGAAGAAGTTTGTTTGAGTTGCTGAATTTTTTTCCAAAAAAACTTTTTTTTTCCTAATTTAACTTTCAATTTTAAAAATAACTCATCGTCTTTGGTGCACTTTGAATGCAATATGAGATTGTAGATTTCTTTCAGAGATCGTCAGAAATGAGCTCGCGTATTAAAAGCCTCACGTGAATATTTTGAATACATTTCAATCTACTTATTTGTGTTGTTAATATTTTTTTGTTTTGATGTTTTTCCATTTTTCCATATTTGACCTTTTCCGCATTTGAAGCAGAGGTTTGCCCTGTTGCTGGGAGAGGTTTTGATGGTCTCTCTTAAAGGTTTTCTTCAATGCAAAGTATATGGAAAACATAGAGAGGCAGAGGTTTCATTGTATTGTGCAATAGCTCAAGACTTGTATTATTTTCCAAAATTACTGTAAATTTTCTTTTCTAATTTTAACCGCTGTGTTATAATATTTTACAAAAATAAATATAATTCTACAAACTTCTAGGCAAAATGCAACTTCTAAAATTTTAACATAAATTTTAAATTGTTTAAAAAAAATGTGAAATAACTTGTTTATAAAATTGGTCACTTTTTAACATTAACATGAAATTGAAAGGCTATGTACTTTTTTAAAAATAATAATTATAATTTGTTTCTGAGAATTTTTGATTGAAGTTACATTTAAATAGTTTGATTTGTATTTGTATTCAATGTTTAAGTTATTAGAGAATTTGCAACAGCTGTATTTATAAATTAAAAAAAAAATTTTAATGAATTTCATGGACTTTTTTTTATCATTATTTGTTGAAAAATCATTTCATTTCATTACATAGATTCCTATCCCATCGAAAGGAAGTTATCTAATGGGTTTGATGAATCTCCGATTAATTCTGAATCTGCAGTAAGTAGATTTTTCTTCTTTTTTTTTTTAAATGTAATATTTATTTTTCTTTCTAATTTTGATTTAAGTGTTGTATCTGAAGGCAACGTAGATTCTAACAAATTTTGAAAAAACTAGGGTGATAAAATTTTTAACAGGTAAAAAATGTGCTTAGTCGTTGGAACCAACACACTTCAAGTAACAAAATTTCTGCAACTGTTTTTCTTTCTTTCATATTTTATAGAGTAATGTGCTGTTTTTTTAAAAAATGTTGTGAAGTGAGTAATGCCGTGCAAATGAAAAAACAACCTCAGTGCCTCGCAGTAGATTTCGAGGAACTTGACTAAACAACTATTTTCTTTCTATTGCTGTTGTTGTGAACACTAAAATAGAATTCCAAAAACTGATAAAAGAAAATTTAATTTTGAAGAAAAATCTTTTGCTATAAGAAGCTTAGGCAAATTTAGTATTTGGGATTTTTCTGACAAGCGATTATCAATTTAGAGGCTGGGACATATATGTCCCAGCCGTACTTATTGGTGGGATACATATGTCCATTAGTAATTTTTAAACGTTTGTTGGGACAAATGAGTCCCGTTCCTAGTCAAAGTTTTAAATAAGCCAATAATTATTTCAATTAAATTTTACTTTTCCCCCCCTCCTATTTTAAACTTCTTTTTTTTAAATTTTGGTCATAGGTGTAAATTGAATCATCCTTTAAAATCCTCCTGATACTAGTAAAGTAGTGACTAAATTTTGAGGGTAATTAATAATTACTACATTTCTAAAAAGATGTAGTTAATAAGATTTGTAACGAAGCAGTTATAATTAACTGTAAAGAAAATATAGTTTTTCTGATGAGTGTATGATTAACCAATGAGTGTAGATTCATTGAGTTTTATTTTTCTGTGAACTTTATTCTATAAACATTTAATAACATTCTATAAGTTTTATTTAATTTATTTCTTATGGATTTGACATCATTTAAAAGAAGAAAAATTCTTTTGCAGTCAGTGACTAAACCTGTAACGCCTACGTCAACCTTATCATCATCTTCACACGTTTCTAGTTCCAGTGCTGGAAATGATCCAGTATACGAGTGTACTACCAGTGTAGTTCGTTCTGTAATGCAGTTGTTGCAGGGTGTTCAAAAAGGACAACACTCGGACTATTTGGAGCTTGTTAAGGTAATATTACTAATTAAATATATAAATATAAATTAATGGGATAAATATAATTTAAAAAAGAAAGTTATTTTTAGGTCACTGTCCTACTTACTTGACATATTCTTACTGTATTTACTTTTTGTAATACTTTATAGTTATTTTTTAAAAAATTTATCTGTTTAGAATGTTGGAATTGAACTGCGTAATCTTCTAGCTGCGGTAGATCAAATAGTCCCAACTTTACCATCATGGTCACATAAAGAGGTAAGTGTATACAATTACAATGTTTGCAAATCCAAAAAATGCTTTTAGTTGGACTGCACTTATCAAAACAATCCACTCCTTGGAACACTTTACCCCATGAATTTTAAAGTGATGTTTGTTTGATTTCGATTTTTATAATAAGCAATGAATTATCAAAATAATTTATATCATGAGACAACATCTCAATGAATACAGCAAATGTGCTTTATTGGAGAAAAAAAATATCCGTTTATTATGGATTCCTTCAGAAATTTTCAAATGCTTACTCATAACAATGATATTTGATATTGTTTTAATGATATTTCAATAATATTTCAATGGTATTTGATGTTATTATTACATAAGTTTTTGAAAAGGAATCTTAAGTCGTCTAATAAGGAGTTATTGTTGTTAATTGTTTGAATGTGTGGTTTCGAAAATATATTTTAAAATTTTGAAGTACTTGTTAAAAGCACTCATAGGCAATCTTTAAAAAATAAAAGCTAACAAAAAAAGCAGGTATTATTATGCATAAATAAATTGCATTTGTTGTTATTTTTTCATTTTTATACAATAGTTTTTTTTAAAAAATAATAAAAATTATTGAGATTCATACATAAATGTTTGGATTTGAGATTCATACAAAAAATTTAACAAAATTATACTTTAATACTTCTGCCTGTCTATTTTAAAACACTTAAAAGATTATCAACAGCTATGTGACTGTGTAGCAAGGTTTGGGATTGGTTGGTAAAGCATGCAGGTACTTGAAAGTAATTTTCTACATGTTAACGCCATTAAGGCCTTTTTGAGAATGTGTATAGTTTCTTATTACAATAATTTTGTTTGCAAAATAAGGATAGCAGTTTTGTATTAAAATAAAGTAAGCTATAAGTTATCTAAAGATTCTTACAAAGCTTTTATTAAATTAAATCTTGTCCTCTTTGAAAGTCGTTTATTTAAAAAAATATTTGCTTTGTTGGATTTATTGATTTGTTTTCTTATTATTTTAGTGGCTTTTATGCCTTGGAATTTTTTTTTTACTGTAAGCAAACGAATTGAACAAAATCAGCTCCCCAGAGCCCAAGGTCAAGAAAACTGAGATGGGCACAGTAGGCAGGCCTTGGCTCTCTATAGACTGTCGCGCCACTGAGTTTACTTTAGTTTAAAATTTCTCACATGAAGTACAGTTCACCAATTTAAGAACATTGCTCTGTTGGATTGCTTTCTGGAACTAATCTTGTATTTTCTGTTCTGATATTTCTTTTGCCTGATATCATGTATTTTCTGCTGGCTTTGTAAATCAATAATACTTATTTCTTGCAGATTGAGATGGCTCATAGTGTTCTTAGCAAAGACATGGTAAATCTAGTGCAAGCCATGAAGCAGGCTCAGCGATTCGCAATGACAACTCTGGACGGCGAATACCGCAAACATATGCTGTCAGCTGCTCATATAATAGCTGTTAATGCTAAGAATCTTCTTGATACAGTGGCCACAGTTCGCATACGCATGCAATCGGGTCTGGGACCCGAAGATGCCCTGCCGGCTCGAGAAACGGCATCGATCGAAAGCAATATTGTCGAAGCTGAAGCGGAACCACCCCAACTGAATCAGCCAATCGAATCCTCGTATTACAATATCCAGGGTGAAGTGAGTGATATGGACAATGTTGGCGGTTCTCGAAACTCAAATAATGTGAGAAATGGGGCTTTTGTGACATAGTATTGAAGTTAATAGACAATTATCTGAAGCATTCATTAAAAATATCTGTAAAGAACAAAAGTTTATAACTTGCATCTTTAAAGTTTTTGTGCCTGGTGTCAAATATTTTTTTGAATTCACCAGTTGATGCAATGACGAATACTCCTTGTTCTCCATTCTCTATTAGAATTCTTATATTTTAGTTATAAAAATTTACTTATTTTAGCATAGAAGTTAAAATTTATCTAATTTCCTATATGTTTTGAAATTAATATGAGATGCTATGATGCTTAGCTGCTGCCAAATTTTTAAAGAAAATATAGTTGAATTGATGACAAAACTTTTTAAAAAAGGAAACAATTTGCAACTTAAGTTTATGCATAGGTTAACAAAAAACTATTTATTATTTAGAAATGAGTGCAAAATTGCTTGCGTTTTTAGTATATATTACCAAAACATTGAATTTTATCTACTATGAGAAAAATTACTGTCTTATATCTCAATTAATATTCTTTTAGGAACTAATGATAATTGTTTCCACTGTTATTGGTGACAGAAATATGTTTAAGTATTAAAATTCTTTTCGAGATGTTAAAAATACTGCTTTTTTATGCGAAAGGTTCAAGTTCACCAGCAGCTTTTTCTTCTTTTTTTGTAGTTTTATTCTAAAAAGTTTCCTGTAGAGGAAATATTTGAAGCTCAAAGTCAGAAGTTACCAAATTTTAAGCTTATATAAGAGAAACCTTTTATTTATTTATTCAAAGTCTGAGTCTATGAAATTGAAAAAAATTATCTTCAAAAATGTAAAATGAGATGCATTTTAGGAAAATGAATATTAACTTACTTGCTCGAAGTAAATTTATTTGATACTTTCTCTCTAATTGAAGGGGTGAGGGAAAAAAAGAATCGATTTTAATCCCTTCCAATTCAATTCCCATCTTGTTGAAAAGGGTTTTTTCTGTGATGAATTTAGCAAAATCGATTGCTTATTAACGTGATCTGTTCGGAACACTTTTTACAGGCGTGAGATTCTTCCGAATTTTGGCAGAATTTTCAATTTATTAAACTTTAGAAGAATTCTTAATATTTCTACGTTATTTTATTTACTTTTTTGTTATTTTCTTCAATCATTATTTATATATAAAGCGTAACAGTTTGTCGAACTGTCAATGTACACATGTAGTAAAGAAAAAGCTTTAAATCAATATAAAAATAATTAAAATGTTTTTTTTCTTCATGCAAAATAGTTTCACACGCTTTTTTTTTCTTCATTTCAGTTCATAGGTATTTTCAGATTTTTAGTCTTTTTCGCACTGTCGTGCCTGGTTTTAGCACACAAGATTATTTGTTTATTGCAATGGTGATTGACAACGACACGTCTGCTGTAAAATCAATCATCATTCCAAAATTACCTTCATGTTGTCATTTTTCTTTCTCTCATTTACAATTTCACAAAAAGTAAAGTTAACATTTTTATAATCATTAGCCTTGTTTTACTATATACTTTGAACCCTTTGGTGCATCTGCATATTGACAAATCACTGTTTTGCTAGATAATAACACGAGACCAACTTGTTTGCTCTAATGGGAACGCATACAGAATATGAAGCAGATTTGTACTAAGGGTAAAATATTAGAATGATATTTTTACATACTCTATTTCAATGTCTAGTTACGTCAATGTGTAAGTTTTATTATTTATGGCAGATTCTGAGTATATTTTTAAACACATTTAGTACAAATTATATGTGTAATGTAATGAATATTTTTAATTCATTTGTAGAATGCTACTTTTGCATCCCTTATGCATTTATTTGTTTATATTAACTTGTATGTGTGTATATAGTAAACATAATAGTATATATTTACTTCAAATTATTTTAGCTTTTAAGCCAAAAACTTATTTATATAGTGAGTTCCTACATTCATCTGTGTCCCTACCATTACCCTCTGTTTATCTTTGTGCAATAATAACTTGTATAAATTAGTGTTTCATTTTTCATTTTATTTGCGTTTAAGGAAATATTTGTTTTGTTTATATTTTTAAAAAAAATTATCACATTTAAATCATTGAATTTATTTACAATGTAATTACATGCTGTAAGATTTTTTTGTTTTTTTGAAAGATTTTTTTGCAACTACATTTTAAAGCAAAGAATGTTCTAGATTTCATTAACCACATAGAGTGTTGAGCAAAGAATGTTTTGCAATGAATGTTCAAATTTAATGTAAACTAAAAATATTTCAAAAAAGTTTAATTGAAAATCTATCTTGTACAGAATATTATGTATCTAAAAGATTGAATTTGTTGACAATGTAATTATATGCTGTAGGATTTTTTTTTCCTTCTTAAAGTAAGTAAAGAATGTTCTAAATTTCATTAACTACATTGAGTGTTTAGCGAAGAATGCTATGCAATGAAGCAAAGAATGTTCTAAATTTAATGAAAACTAATATTTCAAGAAAGTTTAATTTAAAATCTATCTTGTACAGAATGTTACGTATCTAAAAGATTGAATTTGTTTACAATGTAATTATATGCTGTAAGAATTCTTTTTTAAAGCAAACAATTTTTTTTTTACAACTGCATTTTAAAGCAAAGAATGTTCTAAATTTCATGAAAACTAATAATATTTCAAAAAAGTTAAATTGAAAATCTATCTTGTACAGAATATTATGTATCTAAAAGATTGAAAATTTTAGTCAACTCAACTATGTATATTGTACTGTTCATGTGTGTACTTTTTTCCCATAGTGTAATTTTTTTTTCCAAATGTATAATTGAAGGTTTTGGATTCAGAAATAGCAGTTTTTTACATATTGTACTGTGTACATGAGTGTATTGTTTTTTCTAATGTGATAATTTTTTATTCCAAAATATATTGAAGGGCTTAGATTCAAAAATAGTATTTTTACACAATATGTTATACTATTTACACGAGTGCACTTTTTTAAAGTGGTATTTTTTGTTAATAAGTGAAGTTGCAAGTTTTTCGTGCTAAAAAGGATTGAAATTCACTGAAGATTTGTAAGCAATTTTAAAAATAACAAAAACACACGAATAAAAAAATTTGAAAATTTTTATTTTATATGTTTATACAGTGTTAGTTTTTATTTTTATTTAAAGGGACAGAATTTCAGTACGGATCATTATGTGTATTGTTAAATTATTGAAATGAATATAACATTGTTAATCAAATATTCATTTGTTAGCATTAACACCTTTTCCAATACTAGGGATGTAAACATTTCATTGCCTAGTACAATACCTAGTGTTATTACTTCATTTCAATAAGTTTTCTAGTTTAGGAAATAGCTAACTTAATTTTTTTTTCTCTTTTGTATTTTTATTAAATACTCCTTAAAAAGGCATAGTATCATTATTAATTTACATTCCAAGTGATAAAATGACCTCCTTACTTGATAGAGTTTGGGACTTCTTGCACTTTAGCAATTTTTGCTCGAATCGTTGCATTTTTAAAAATTTGTGGAATTCCGAAGGGAAAAAAAAAACATTGAATTTGCATCATGACTAACTTGCAACACTACTCATAAGTAATTTATACACGTCAAAAATAAGTTAGACAGCAAAAATGCAAAAGAAATGGATAAATGTTTTTTTTAGCCGCTTTTAAAACTTAAACCAGGAACTGAATTACATTTAAGTCCAATTTGGATGTTTTTTCTTTTCACTTTCCCTTCTTTTGCTTTTACTTGACAAATATTGAATTAAACCCTTCAATTGTTAAATAGCATTTATTTCTTTTTTTATCAGACTTGATCAGTTTTATGTTCTTAAATTATTTAAAAGCTTTTAGTTGTAGTGTTATATATTATGTTTTAATACTTCCTGTGATTTTTAAAACTAAATATTTTAGTCTAACTATTGTATGATGGCATTGTGGTTTGATAAAATGTCAAAAAATGTTTGAATCGCACAATGGAGTGTCAGAATGTTGTGTACTTTTTATTGTGTCGTATTTTATGGACCAAATTTATATTTTCTAGTCAACTTTTAGTTTGTTAAAAACATATATTTTAAAAAATGCAGGTTTTGTCTAAAAAAAAATATTTTTTTTTGAGTTTGCACTGATGCTTTAGAGATTTTATTGATAAATTCTGAGTGTATTGTTTCATCAGTGTTTCAAACCTGCTTTTTCCCTTTAATCGATTTAAATCTAGCCAAATTATAATTTATTCCATTCCTATTTATCATTAATTCATTTTGAATGATTAATATATCTTAATTAATTTTTCTAATTAATTATAAACCATGATAATCATTAATGATAACAGCAAAATTATTGTTTGTTATTTTTAAAATATTTTTTTTTATTTCAATATTTTTTATAGAATTGTTTTCTTTATAATGATATTTATTGAATTATAATGTTATGTATTCGTTACAATTTGCATCATCGTTTTTGTTGATGATTTCTTCATTAATATTTATAATTCATTTTTAAAATTATGTGCAGCCCTGCATGACAATATAAACAATGAAGAACTGTTTCTTAAGTGTGGTTTTAAATTACGAGCTTTCACTATAATTTCCTGTGATGTCACTCGAACTTGTCAGCTATAAAGAGAGCTAGGTTGCATTGGGTACAATTTATTGCAAATTTAACTTCATTTTAACAATGGCCATTTTTTTTTTTACCTTTCCAATTTATTATAGAATTAAACCTAATGCTGTTTGCATACTCTTCATTAACATTTGTGTTTTCTATAAAATAAAATAGTCTTTAATATATATACCAGATTGTTATAATGCAAACCTTAAAATATGAGGCACTGTGTTATACTGAGTCTTGTGTTATATGGATAATTTTACATTAGTGTTTTGGCGTTTTCAAGAAATTTTCATATTTCAAACTGTCTGACCTTAAAAAGTTCCCCTATAAGTTCCTGAATAAGAAACAAAAAATGATTTTTAAATATTGAGTCCTTTACAGTTTTTTTACGACTCCGCCAGAGTTAGTAGATTTATATGCTTGCTTCTTTACAGAACCCTTAGTGGAGAATTGCAAGGATGTAAATTAGGAGCCCTTGGAGGTCAACAATGAAAATTACTATATTCTCCAATGCCCTTTATATATTGTTTTAATTTTCATTTACTAAGTAAAAATAAAGAGAACGAAAATTGACGAAACATGACTGACATTGAGCAATTAAGGAATTAAATAGAATTTGTTTCTTAAGTGTTAAATTTTTATAAAATTGGCAGCTATTTTTTTATTTTTACGAAATGTGTTAAAATGTAATAATAGCCATTGCTTGCTTATTTTAAAAATGTCTTTAAAATACCAAAAAAACAATATAGAAATCATAAATAAATACATTAGAAAGTCACATAGCCACTGTGGTACTATAAACAAAAGGCATCATCAGTACTGTGAGATACGGAGTGTATCTCTGTACTGATGATGGTCCTTGCTTGAAGTACTGAAGCGACCGTCTCTCTTGCCAACTACTATACTTGTGCTTTCCGCCTCGTTCCTATGTTATTTTAATAACAGCACAAAAGAGTACACTTCTTTTTGATAATTACCTCTTCTGACAGCTTTTTTTTTTTTTAATGCTTTGTGTTCATTTGTTTTGTTTTAGATGGATATAAATAGATGTTTTCTTATGTATGTACATAATTTTATATAAATATATTTGCCATCTTTTAGTAAGCACTTTTTTATGATGTCTATACACTCTAAAGCTTTCTTCTCTTACTTCAATTGTAAGTGCTGTAGAAAAAAATCTAGTCTTAAATTTTAAGGCTATATTGTAAATTATGCATTCTCTTATATATAAAAAAAATTTATGTATTTATAATTGTATATTAAAAATACATTATAATTTATATGCTTTCTGTGCTTTAATTACAGGACAGGATTAAGAATTTAATTAGAAATTTATATCATAATATACTGGGCGATTATGAAATATTGTCATTATAAGATCTCCCGGCAAAATACTATACAAGGAAAATGAATAAAATTCATCTAATTTCACTCGACAATATGAAAAAAAGTTTCAAATATATATAAAATAAGTAAGTTTTTTTTAGTTTACCATTTTGTTGGATTTATTTGTAATCTAATTACTTCGAATGTTTATGATAAAAATTATTTGCAGTTATTCTAAAACTTAATTTATTTTTGTGTTGTCACATAAATAACTTTTATTACTAATTTTCTTAATCTTGATAGAATCAAAGTTTTATTGGTCACTGAGAGATTGTACCTTGTTACAATACTACAAGTTACAATACCTTGTGCTTTTTACTTATCTGACATTAAATTTTATTTTGAGTTTTATGAATACAGGGTTTAAAAATACAATCTAAATTTTTTTCTGCAAAATTCTATAAAACCACAAATCTTATTAAATACGAGTTTGTAAACTACTCTAGACGCCTGGATGTTGCTCAGTTTTGTTTGTAAACAAATTTTAAAATTTCAGTTATTAATAAGATTTTTTTTGCTGGTTTGCAAAACACAATTGACATATTTTTCTTTTCATAAAATGTGCTTATTTATACCTGCAGACAGGAATCATTGTAAGAATTTTAAATAAGATATGCGATTCTCGTCTCTGTTTATGAAAATGTTAACATAGCAGAAACTATGCAACATACTGTAAAAATAACAGGTTTTCTAAAAAGTGTTATTTCGTAGGTGATAACTTTATTATTTTTTTTATGTATATGGCTTATAGAGGGGAAAAAAAAGACAAACACAAATCAATAACTTCAGAAATGATTTATTTTCACACAATTGAATATTTTCCAAAAGGAAAAAAAAATCATTAAATGAATTATTTTCAAGAAAGAATCATAACTTAAACATCAAATTAAAGGATACAAATACACTTTGGTCTTTTGCATAGAGGTATTTCAAAGTTTATATTACAAAGAAAAAAAAATAGTCCAACCTTCAATTTGCTATTTACAGAACCGTGTTTTCATTTTTTGGAAGCTACTGTACATATTCACAAGGAAGACATAGTCTGAGAAAAAGGCACTATATATATATATATAACATTTAACTTATGTACCAAATGAAATAAACGGTAACTTGAAGCATTTGGTTTCTCAAAGTCAGTCCTGTTTATTTTCAGACATCAAACTAACTAGCTTTGTTCATCAAGAACGTTTTAATTTCCACTTAAACTAAAAAAATATTATTGTTCAAGCTAGTTATGATTCATACTAGTTTTTAATAAATTAATTCAACTGGCTTACCGGAAGAAAAAAAAAATTGTTTTAATTTTTTCCCCTATTATTTCTTCATTGAAAAACATGTCACAATTAGTTAATAAAAATGAAATTTTTTTCAGAAAATCATATATTTTTAATTATTTTTATATTATTTACCAAAAAGAAGTTTAAAAAAAAACATTTATCAAATATATTAAGAATGTAATGCAATTTTAAAAACAATTTAGCTGGTTTACATTGATTAAGAAAAAAAATTATAAATTTTAAATGCTAGGATTGATCTTGTTTTGAAATCAATTACTTCAACAATTTTTTTTTTTTTTACATATATAAAATAGCAGCAACAGGAAGTAGAAAAAAAGTAAGCATTAATAGAACTACTAACTGCAAAACGACTAGATCATTTTTTTCCCCACAGCACATGAGTATCAAGAAAATGCAGTCTTTTAGTAGTTAATCAGACATCTTGATTCAGGAAAAAGAAAAAAAAAACACAAATAAAAAGATTATTTCAACTGAGCTTAAAGAACAGTCATTTTAGGGGGGGAAGGTGAATTAAAAAGTAACAATATTCTATTTAATACAAGCACAGAACAGATTTTACTTTTCCTCAAATGCATGTTATAATAATCTTTTTTTCCTGTCCAATGAAAAATAGCATTAGAAAATTATTAAAGTTTAACTGTAATAACTTTATTGCATTAAATTGCAATTATTTATGGAATTAAACAAATGTATTCAAATCAATATTGTTTCATGCACAATGAATGTGAATTGTTATTTATTTGCTGCTTTCATTATAGTTTACTCTTAGTTTAAATGAAAATAAAATAAAAATAATTGAACTGAGAGATTATTTATACAAGGTGTTCTGTAATATCCACCCTTTACTTACTGAGCCGGCAGTAAAATTTAAGTGAAGAAATAAATAAAAATGCTCTTAAATTCTAATGAATCACTACTGATGTTTAATAAAACCTTTACTAAAACTTGTAATTTATCATCAAAAAGTAATATTCGCAATGAAATAAGTAAAAATAGCTAAAATTTCATTTGCAGAAGAAAATAGAAATTTATTTTAAGTAAAATCAGTGAACTGTACTTACAGAAAGCTTTAAAAAAAAAAAAAATACAGAAAATTACTTTTTAATTCACCCTTGTCTTCCTATCAAAAATATCTGACATTAAATTACAGTTTGAATTTAAAAAAAACCAAACTGATATAGGAACTAGAATAAGGTTTATATCGTAGCACAACTTACTTAGAAACTGTGCTAACCTTATAAACACAACATTTAAAAAAAAAAACTTGAAATAGTGAGAAAGCACTAAAAACTAGATAATTTTTTTTCTTCTTTCGTTCATTTAAATTTACGATTTCAAAAACTGGTAAATATATATAACAGAAATATTTCATGAACATTGAGTAAAAAGATTTTTTTACAATAAATAGAAAATATTTGAATTAAATACAACAAAAGTAATTAATGCTTCCTCAGTCTTTTTCAATAAATATCCATTCATAACTTTACAATCATCTACATTACTTTTTTTTCTATATTATGTACATATCTACAAAAAATAGAGGATTATTTATTATAAGTTTCTCCTAGTCAATCATAAAGTACATAAACATACAAAATTTTCAAACTGAACGAATACTCATGAACTTGTAAAATAATTATATTTAAAACTGAATCTAACAATCAAAGTAAATTCTTGATTTAATAAAATTAACTAGACATTTCTAACGAATAATTTTCAGCTTTTGGTTTCAGTCAAATTTAAAGCTAAAGTTTCCATAACATGATATAATTATTTTTAAAAGATTAAATAAAACACAACTTCTGTTACAATTTTCTAAGTACCAGAAACTTTTTTTAAATAATTTATTAATATAATTAAAATAGATCACAACCCTCAAAAATTATTATTTTAGCAATAGCAGTATGAAAATTGCTATAAAGAGAGAAAAATGCATTGTTTAATAAAAATTAAAATATTTACATTAAAAATCAACACTATAAAAATATTAAATTGATTTAAGCCAAAATTATTGATCAACTTTAAATGTTAAAAAGAATATTAGATCTAATCATTTCTCAAAAATGTAAATATTTTGATATTCTCAAAAATATAAACTATTAAACTGATTGATTGTTTTTGTAATCTTTTAATTTTGCAGTTAAATCAAAACATTTCTTTCTTTTTTATTTAAATAAAACTATGACAAAAGAAAGTTTCCTTTCATGCAATTGATAGGCAACTTATAAATAAGAAATTTACAGTTATGTAAATGATGTTCCATTATTTTGACAGTAACACCATATCTAAATTAATATTCAATGTATTTTAAAATATTTTTTTAAGATGTGCAGTTCTTAATAAAATAAATAATTTTACATAAATTATTTACTTTCATGTTTAGAATTTTTTTCTCCTGAGTACTTTTCTTAATAAAACCACTATAATTATACATTATAATTATTCTTACTAGGCTAAGTTGAATATAAATTTCTTAGTATCCAATTTATAATAGTGTTAGGCTATCAAGCAATTTGATTAAAATTGCATTAATTTTTCTCAACTTATAAATTACAATAAAAAGTTTAAGCGAAATAGTATTCATTATATTATGATAAATTGCTAATATACATTACTAATCTTATTTGGAATTACTGATACCTGAGAGAAATTCAAAGTAATAACTCATGGAATTCTTTGCATTCCGGAATGTTACCCTACACATTGAAACTCAAGTTGCACACTTAAAAAATATTTATTGGAATAGCTGCACATTTAAATCTTTTCTTAATAAACTCCTGGTAGAATTTACATATATATTTTGTTAAAATCTATAAATTCTTTTTCTTATAAAAATACCATTGTCTTCCTAACTAAACATCAAAAATAGGTATCAAGCATAATTCATATAACTTAGCGAGGAAATAAAATCTAGACCACACAATGCATGCTTGTATATTTTTAAATAGTTGCCAAATGAAGAATATTTAGATTAGAAGATGATTGTATTCAACATTTTTACAAAACTTGTAACTCTTTTAAATGAAACTTCAGTTTATACCATGAATCTGATACACTTTAGAACAGATTAATATGGTTTTAAAAGTTAAAAAAGATATAAATGCATTGGCAAAAACTTTATAAGGCACATAAACAATATAATTAATGCACAATACATTAAAAATCACAGGCGACTTTATGGTATATATAAGTCGTAATATTATAATTTGTAAATATTGAAGAAGAAAATAAAGTGTGTCCACAATGTATTCTATAAATCCAGCATAATCTCAATATACTTTAGGTGAAGTTTACACATAGAAGATTATTAATTGATGAAAAAACATCAATATGTACTATTTTAATGCTTTCTGTTTATTTGGTTCATTTATTTTTTTAACGATGGTTTGTAAATAGAGCCACTACCATGTATTATTATAACTCTTATATGTCTTATAAAATAAACCCTTATGTAAAATTTATTTTCCATTTAATAAAAGGTAAGTGGCATTTTATTTTCGTCTTAAATTATAAAACAGCACATTTTGAAGTACTAATTCAAATTTATCTGCTACTAAGAATAATTTATAATTCTTCAATTAACCCTATTCTCATGAAATGTTTAGACTTAAAACGACTGCAGAATCTGAATAAGCGACAAAATTCGAGACTTGTAAGTTCTATTTGAGGATAAAATATTTAAAATATCATTTTTAAAAAAAACTTCACTTATATGGAATCATATTTGAAAAGAAAAAAATAAATGAACAAGCCAAAGATAGTGTTAAGAGCAATCCCAAACATCAATCAAAATATATGTATAAAGCATCAGTAGCATCACACAAAATAGATTCCAGAAAGTTTAGAAGCTCATTATAGCAGAAGAATAATTCCGAGGCAATACAACAAACATTATTTTCCTGAAAATTCTCTTTTTGCAAGTCAAGAGAAGGGGTTTAAGTACAGACTGATAGATGCTCTGCATCCTTTCCTCAGTTAGTTTCACTCGGAAACGAGTTTTCCAATTTAGGACTAGCTGCTCATCCATTTGGATCGGACTCCAACCACAATGGGCAAGATGTATAATGGGCAGAAACATACTTTTCGATTTCGGTACATACCTCTCGTAACACTTTGCCACAATTTATAACTGAATTTGCATAAATAAGTTCGCACAATTATTATTTATTAGGTTGTCACAGTGAAGTCCTCGCTCTGCTCGATGCAGAGTGAACTGTGGCTCCGACGTGGTGCCTTTCTCCGTGCCCACATTCTGGATCCTGGAAAAGAAATGAAATAATTTAACAAATGCACATACTGCAATAATCAAATAAAAAACAGTGCTTGTGAATTTCTTATTGATTCAAGAACAAATCAATGTATAGGGCTTAACAAACATTCAATAATTATATATCATTTTAAGTATAAAATTAAAGTTATTAATATTATTTACATAATAAAATGTTTAAAATTGAGTGCTTTTCTCAAATCGGTATGTTCTATAAAAAAAATCAGGAATTTTTGGATAAAATACTAAACATCAGGCCAAAAAAGGATAGAATATTTTTTATCGGGACAACTACAAATCCTGCTCATTTAAAAATAAAGAACAGAAGATTTGACTTTATGTACATATCACTGAATGGTTTTTATTTACTACAAAGTATATAATTTATATGGCCAGAGAATTGATTCAATTAAAACATTTGTAAAAAAAAAAGTTGAAGTTTTCTACTGTGCAATTAAACAAATTTATTCTAAAAAATTTTTTGTAAACCCAGTTTCATAATTTAACATGGAGTAAAGCAGTTTTCTTTGAAGAAAACAAATGGAGCAACAAAAAAAAATTTTTTTTAAGGAGTAATGGAGTAAACCAAATCAAGTCTCTTTGAAGGAAACCAATGGAGTAAATCAATTATTTTTTTAAGGAAAGCAATGGGACGGAGTAAACCAAATCAAGTCTCTTTTAAGGAAACCAATAATCAATTATTACTTTTTTTTAAGGGAAGCAATAGATGGAGTAATTCAATTATTTTTTTAAGGAAAGCAAATGAAAACCAAATCAATTATTTTTTAAAGGAAACCAATGAAGTAAATCAACTATTTTTTAAAGGAAAGCAATGGATGGAATAAACAAATTCTGTTTGAAGGAAAACTACCAAGATTTATCCTGAATTGAATTCAGAGTCAAATGATAAATGGTGAAAATCGATATTTATAATGCAAACTTAAAAACTAAGTAACAAAATGAAAATAAATGTAGACATACATGTAAATTTATAGTTTTGTCTTCAATATGACTATCAGACTCTCTAAAGGCACTAAAAGGTTCATATGCTTGGGAGACTGGAGTTACAGGATGCATTTGTTCTTTTCTCTTCTTTCTATGGAGGGAAAAAAAAATACAAATTGTAAAATCTGCTTTGTATATAAATGAATAAAAATAGGTAAGAAATACTATAATGCTCTTTAAAAAATATATAGATAGAATATCTTTAAATTTAATTTTATTTGACTATGATTAAAATTTTTATCAATTAAAGATTTGCCTATATTTGAGATTGATCAAAAATAAATTTCCCAGTTCATTGGCATTATAGGCAGAGAATGTAATCTATGCAAAATATACTATAAATTACTGGTGATTTTATGAACGGGAACTAAAGTAGTGTTATATTTTGGAAACATTGAAAATTAAAAATATCTTATAAGTTCTTTTTCTTTTTAAATTTTCATTTTCCAATTTTTTTCTTGCACTGAAAGAATAACTATCAACTTAAATTTGAAGTGAATTGATTAAAAGGGAAACAAATAAAATTTGTTGTTTAAAAAAATACTAAAACCTTTAAATGTTATCAAAACTTCACAAATACTTTCATAAAAACACCATGAAATTTTAAAATTGAAAGAATCGATTTATGATCATAATAACTATATACAAAAAACAAACAATAACTATCCATTTACAATTAAATGGCGCCTCTATAATATCACAAAATAATTATGTTTCAGAATTATATAATTTTTCATCTAGAATAATTTTACTAATTAATACACAATATTCAAATCGATAATCCTATTCATGAAAAAATTTAAATTCAAAGTAAATTGAAAAAAAATTTCACACTATATATCTATTGATATTTTTAACAAATAACAGCAGCTTTATAATGTCAGAAATACATGTTAGACACTACATAAAATACTCTGAATAATAATATTATACAAAATATCTCAAGAATTTTTGGTGAAAATAGTGTAAACTTACTTGATATGAACATATACTGCAACACAGACAACCACTAATATTATTATAAGAAGAGTAATTCCACCAGCGATGCTAGCAGTTTCTATCATAACTTGTTGCCTGGATGCTGAAAAAAAAGATATATATTCTCATCAATTACATTTCAGAAAATTTGGACATTCTAAAAATAGAGCTCTTGCAGGAACAGAAAAGTAATGCCATTTCAAAGGCATTAAATATTCGTTAGTCATAAAAACCAATTAATTTTTTTTTTCTGATCCGGCATTTTAAGGTTGTTGCTATCGAGGGTAAATATATTATTGATTAAAAATAAAATCTTAATAACAAATATCAAATGCACCGAAACGACATTACTTTCCTGTCCCCCTGATAAATTTCTAGGAAACAATTTTGCTGGTAAAAAAAGCTGCTGAGATTTAAGAATTAAAAAAAATTTTTGTGGGTAGTCTTAATTCTTTCTTATGGTTTTAATCCTGGGCAATAGGTTTCCAACCTATGATTCCTGATCCAAGTTTGAGTTGCGGAAGTTTAGGTTGATAAATTTCTATCTATGATCTAGCCTATCTAGCTAATTTGCAAGATTCTTTTTTATTGATAACCATTCTATTTAACCATTTTTTTTTAAACACTTTGGCACCATATTTTTTTAAATAATGAATTTTAATTAACTATAGTAATTTCAAAGACAATTTTTATGAAACTGTTCCCCATTTTAAATTCAGGTTGAGACCAGGAATTTGTATAATGATTAATAATTATGCCTATCTATCAGTTTTATAAATAAAATATACCGTGTGAAAGTACCAAGTTTGACCATAACTCATTTTCAAAAAAAAAAAAAAAAACTTTCTCCCAATACTACAGAGAGAGAGAGGGGGAAAAAAAAATTCACTTTAACAGGGAGCGCAGCTAGATTTTTTAACAAAAAATAAGCACCTTTAAAGTACTTTTTAAGCACTCAAAAAATATTTTTAATCACTTTTAAAAAAAAAATCATAATTAGGATCTGTGCGGTAATAAAAATTATTTTTTTCTATCCTTTAAAGTTCTTAATTTATAACCACAAAATCAATAAAATTTAGCAATATTTTCAAAAGCTTTACATAATCATGATAATATAACTAGTTTCTGATAAATATCGCAGAGAAAATTGTGAAAATCATGCATTTTTTGTAATTTAGAATGACAATGGATACAGCAAAGAAAAAAATATCCTTTTAAAAGATAGAAAATTAAGCACTTTTTACTAAAACGTAAATAAAAAATAAGCATCTTTCAAAAACTCTACGCACCCTGTTTAACTACTAAAATATATTTCATATTTTTTAAAAAATCCACTTTCATTTGTGACGGATAACTGATAACTAAATGCTTCCATTTCAATCAAATTTAGCAATAACATTAAATTGCATTGTATATATTACAATAAAATTACATGCTAAGAATAAATACATACCTAGATAAGAACCTTCTAAATCTTTAAATTCACATCTTTGGCCAACATAGCCATCTGCACATCTGAAAATAGTTAAAATGAAATTTAGGCATAAAGAAAACGTCATTTATTTGAAGAGCATTCATTAATACATCTTGATTAATTAACAAGCACTACTGAATATACTCACTCGCAATTGTACAAGATGGATTCTCCTATTTTAACAGAGAAGCACGTGGCTCCATTTAAGCAATACCACTTGGCATAGGCCTCAGGACAAGCATAGGTTTGGAATGTAATATTCGGCCTCATCGTAGGTTGAGGAGGGGGTCTGGGCCTTGGCGTGGAACGTGATGAACAAGCACCTAGGAGAAAAAAGCAAAGTGTAACCACACAAAAAATAATATTTATGTAGAAAGGAGTATAATTACTGATTATAATACGCTAATTAAAAGTTCATTAGCACATCTAGTCATAAAATATTTTACACAGAAAATTAATTGAAAATAATTCGTTATGTAATTTTCTGCTTTCTAATACCATTCTAAAAGAGCTTTTTTTTTTCCAAAAAAAAAATTATGAAATCCAAATATTGGTGATTAAATAAGTAACAGTATTTTGACAACACTAAAAAAAATCACCAATAACAATTGAGACGTTTAAAAAAGCTCGCAATCAGAGCTACTGTTAGGATATTAATAACTACATGGATCAATTAAATAATGAAAAAAGTTTTGAAACTGCAAAATGTTTCTTTAAAAATGTAGAAATAATTAAATTATAATCTATAGCTTGAAAATAACAGATATGTAAACTGAAACCTCCTGGTACTTTCCGTGCCATATTTCGGCAAATAATAATAATAAAAGTATATAATTAATAGAAAATAACTCGTACATAAAATTTTTAAATGCTTGCATGAAAATAGATTCAACATATCACTTTTTACAATTTAAACTAAAACTTGATTAAATATTTTTTTTTATATATATTTTAAAAAATATGGAATAATATCATTTATGAATGTAATCAGGCTGGCCTGAATAATTTCAGGCCATCGCTTCTGTTTTTTGCGTACAGCCAATACTGAATGAAAACCTCAAAATCAAATCGGAGAAATACATTTTTAAGATAACATTGTTAAGATAAATACATTGTTACATTATTCAGTCTTTTAAATACATTGTCCCAAAATTATACAGCGAATAATAAAGGATTTTCTTCACATCTGTATTCTAGGAATAATTTTAAATCCCCATTTTTTTAATTAAATTAACTTAGATTTGTAACTAGACTAGAGTTGGGTTCAAAATTACAAGTCTATGGAGTTGAACAATACTAGTCGTAAATCCAAAAATTAGGTCGGCTGTTCAACGACGGTTATAAAATATAAAATTTGTTAAAGCTTTTATTACTAACAAAATGTATTTTTGGAAATTTAGAGTGTATGAATTTCTGAGAAATTAAAATATGTTTTGGAAAATTTTTTAACTTTTTATTTAATTATGTATCATAATTTTTTATTTATTTAGTTCAATTTTCAAATCTTCATATTTTCGATCAATTGAGCATAACTGGACTCCGTCTATAACATGTTACAGGAATCAACGAATTTAAGAATGGATTTTTAAATCACACTTTTCGACATAAAGATAATTTACGTAGCAAAACTTTCAGGCATATTATAAATGTGCTTTTGGCACCAGATAATTACGGAAATATCGCTCCATAAATCAACTCTCAAACAGGATCTCATAAACTCATTTAGAACAATTCGCCAATACATAAAACTTATAGATGAGGTTGGATGCAGCAATAAAAAATTTTAGTTATGCTTGGCGAACATCTGTTCTCAAACAGCCAAAATAAAAGGTCATTAAAGTACAGCTAATGTATAAAAATCATTGGAGAATGCGATTATTCTCTCTCTCTGCCCCCACGCTCTTGTTAAATCGCCAAGTTAATTCAGAAAAGAGTGATGATCGTTATAACTATAGATGTTAAAACGATTTGACCCCTAAGTCAAGTTTGGCTTTAAGCTCTGAAATTGCAGCTTTCAATATGAGGGGGCGGGAGTCGTGATTTTACGCTCCAGGGAAGGTTTTTTTTTCTTCATTATACCCTCGAGTTTTTAGAATATTAACTTATAAATAAATGATTACAAGCAAGCCCTTATCCTCGATTTCTTTTTCACGTGTTGAAACAATGCATAGCATTTATACCAAAATTCTTTATTCTTTTAAATTACAAAGAGGAAAAAATTACCAAATTTTAAGTTTGGTTTATCAGCAAAAAAGTTTGGATAATAATTTTTTTTCTTTCTCCACATCTGCTATAGAATTTCTAAAACTGGAATGTGCAATCATTTTCTGCCCAATAATCTCATTTCAATTAAAGCTGGTTTTACTTCATACAAACCTTACAGATATATCAAACTTATGATGCAAAGCGCGTACTGAAAATTGTTATCAAATTAAAACTCCAAAAACTGAAAAGTACTGAATCTTCCAGAATAATAGGAGACTTCGCTAATCACCACTCGCCTGATATTCTTTAGTACAAATTTAACAGTTCATAATCCTCGAACTAATTAACGAACCTTAATTTTTTATTGTTGTAATATACCCCCTAGATTTTTCAATACCCTTTTTTAGTCTTAGAGTTTTAACACAGAAAAAAAATGCAATGTAAAAAGAAAAGCAGAAAAAAAACGTGTTCCTCTATAGTTGCATTTCTGTGGTTTGAAGAGTGGTATTTTTTATGACAAGCTTAATAATTAATAATTCCCATACTACTTCACGAATGTTCTTTTTTTTCTTCTTTTAATTGTGCTCCTAGTACATTTTTCAACCTAACTTCGCAATTTTACGTCTCAAAATCTAATAATTTTTTGCAACCAAACGAGATTAAAGTTGGACATCCAAAACAGTGGTGGCGCTTACGATTTTTCAAACACAGAGCGAAACTACGCGACAATAATTTCCAAACTGTATCAACAAGTCTGGAAGATACCAGCGTTGCAGCATCCTGAACTGAATTAACTTCCAAGTATCTATCATAATGAAAACACCCGTCCACGCTCTGATGCACTTTAACAGGTTTTTATTTTCACACTACACAATCTAATATTAAAAAAAAAAAAAAAAAAAAAGACTCCAGCNAAAAAAAAAAAAAAACATCTCTAGAATAGATGGATAGATCACGGGGAACATTTTTTCCAAAAGCTTTAAAACAAGTTTTATTTTGCTGCCTGTCTCTACAGTGACATACAGAAAGTGCCATTCCGATATATATATATTAAGAGAACAGCTGGTCAAGGGCTATTAAATAAAGCAACGTCTGTACTAATTACTGAGGATTTCCAAGTGGGTAGTCACCGATTCAGTTTGCTGGCCATCATGGCCCAGGCCAAAGTGCGTGCCTCTCAGCTATTAAGAGCAAAGTCTTTTAAAAGTCAATTTTATTTTTTGTTTGTCAGCAGTAATTTAATATTCTCTCTCGTTCCCAAAAGCATCAAAGGAGTTTTACAGCATCTGTTCCCTCATAACTGAAGGGTATAGTTTTCGTCTTTATTCATTCACATAAAGAACTCAGTTATTATTAAAAAGAGGTTGTTCATTAACGTCAGGTGTCGTAGCAGTTAATATAGAAATGTGCGTTGCTATAAAATGGCACGCGACAATAATCAAATACAAAAGAATGTGCGTAATTGGCGTTATGAAATACGGAGCTTGGCAATTTGGCGCTATTTCCTGCTTATTAGACGTCAATTGATCCGGAGCCTGTGGGGTAATACCCCCCATTTGAAAGGTGCTAATTTGAGATACATGCCGAGGTTGATTATTTGCATGGTTGGTGCAGGGATATCCCTTATAAAAAACACCTCGACAGTGAGACTTCATACATGTATCTTGTAACAAAAAAATTAATGAATAAATTTAAAAAAAAATGCAGCACCAATTTTCTAAGAAAATGTTTGACACTTGTTTTAACTCGATTCCTACCTCGTTATTGGCAACAGTTTTTAAAGTTCAAGACTTGGCTCTTAAGAAAGTAAACTCTTAAAATGACATGCACAACATGAAGAAACAGTTTTAATAAATCACAAGCAATCAGAAAGTACATGGATATAATCATTTATAACAACATACTAGCGAAATAAGAGATTGCTCCGTTACAATACCAATACCCTAATAACAAGAAGTTATATCTTTTATAAGACTAACATCGAAATACATCTTTTAAAATGTTAATTTTACGCATAATGGCTATGAATATTTTTTTAATCACATATCTTTATAAGTTAAAATTTTTTCTAGTAACGCACTTCGGTTATTGATGGTAATAAAAAATTATGGAAAAAAAAAGTTTTTGAGATAACAAGAAATTGCAGATTCACGACGATCTGCAATGCATCTATAAGAGTTAATGAACGAAGGCTTCAGAGTTTAGAGTTCAAATTTTGAATTTATTTAGAAGGAAAAAAGTACATTTCAAAATCATTAAATTCAAACATAATTCACGCTATGCAACTTAGAAGAATTTTATTCGAACAAAAAGTAAGTAACATAAGAAAGGAATTCCAATTTTCACAAAAAAATAATTAAATAAATAAAATAAAATTGTCTCAAAAGTAGATCGAGATTCTTGCACAGACTCAAAGGCCTTTAGTGCGACGTAAATATTACAAACTAAATAATAATTTTTAGGTATAATATGAAGGATGAAACATGGACTCAAGTGTGTTGAAGATTTAAACGTATTTAAAATCATGTGACACATGCGCATATTAGGAAATTAATTTGTTACAAATCGATTTCTTAGATCCGAATGGGCATTGCCTTTTAAAATATCTTTTAATCAATTCCTGCCTGGAGATTAAAAATGCACCAATGTAGTTAAACAGTATTGTTAGTAAATTATAAATAAGTTTTTATAGTTTGGTCTGCTACTTACTAAATCGTTAGCATTTTAATTAACCCTCTAAGCAAGATGGTTAGCCTGGTCAAGACTGGTAGTTTTTTTAGCATACAAATTTTTTAAAAAAAAAAACTAAAAAAAATTCTAAATTGGCAGATTTTTGAATTATTGCAATTTAATTAGAACTAAAACATGGCTATAATTTTCACTTGACTGTGGAGAGCCTCTAATATGTCCAGTTCATAGAGTGGACAGTCAGCAGGTGTCCGCGCCACATATATGTAGGTAGATAGCGTCAGGTAGAGAGGAAATAGGAAACGCCGCATTTCCTTTCCATTGAAGCTGAGACTGAGTCAGTAACCTTTGGTCTCTAAACACCGCCCACGCACCTATCATGGTCATCCCTACGTACTTTTCACGGACATTATTTTTATAGTAATAATAA